ATCACGTTTTCAGTGCTGAACACACCACCAGGGACATCCTTTCTTTCATGGCCCAGGTTCAGGGCCACAACATGCCCAGTAAGCCCTCAGGGTTTATCTTTAATAAGTGGATTTCATGCTTTCTTTTAGAGGATGACTAGCCATCTCATTCCATTATGTTTTTCAGAGGCTTCCATGTATTTGCCTGTTGCCCCCATCATGAGCAAACACAGGAAGTCTCTGAACCTGCTGGATGTTCCTCAGCACAGTGTTTCTCATCACACCAAGGCAAGTCTCCACACTCCCACATAAAGTGAATAAATGAAATAAATGGCCCATAGTTTTGATTTATGTCTGTTTTTGTCTGCAAACACACACTAGGCCGATAGCTTTGACCTGCACTTGCCACATGATTCTCATGGGACCACAGACTTTGCCTATCTGGTCAATCAGCTAAAGCATTGTCCAAGCCTTCAGGACCAGGCAGATATCCTCTATGTCCTCTATGCTATGAAGTGAGAATGTTTATAAAACTGACTGTGCATATCCATTATAATTTATTTTATAATCCATTTTTAATCTAAGTCTAAAAATCAATCATTAAATCATTCTCCTCCCTGGTGTTTGTGTGTGTTTAGGGGTCCGGATTGGGTAGTAAATCTGTCAGGACAAGGTGAGGTGACTGTTCGCTCCCTGCTGGAGGAGCTGTATGTTCGGGCGGGAGCGTTTAAGGAATGGGGCCTCATCCGCTACATTTCAGGCATCCTGAAGAAGAGGGTGGAAGTTCTTGCTGAGGTGAGACCCCATATCTATCAATGATTGTTTCATCAACAACAGCCACATTTTTTTTTATATATATATATATATATATATATAATTAAAATGTACATATTCAGAATTTTGAAATTTTAAAACTTTGTTACACTATGATTCAGAAGTGTGGAGTCGGTAAGAATTGCAAATGTTTTTAAATGTCTCATATACTCACCAAGGTTGCATTTATTTGATCAAAATACAGTAAACATATTGTGAAATATTAGTGCAAATTAAAATAACTGTTTTCAATTTTAAAATATTTAAAAATGTAATTTATTTCTGTGATGACAAAGCTGAATTGTCAGCATCATTACATCATTGATACTTTAGAAATCATTCTGATATGCTGATGTGCTGCTCAAGAATATTTCTTATTATTATTATCAATGTTGAAAACAGTTGGGCCGCTTAAAGGGGTCATATGATGCGATTTCAAGTTTTCTTTTCTCTT